TGACGATAATAATAGCACTTGCCTGCAGGGTTGTTGTGAAGATCCAGTAATATATTTGCAAAGCGCTTAGCACAGTGCCTGACATATTGTAGATGCTATATAAATGCCTCTTCTCTCCCTCCCCTCCCAGTTCTAAAGTCTTTGGTCCTTAGACTATCTACTCCAGCCTCCTTACTTTATGAAAGAAGAAATTGAGGTCCCTTAGCCTCTAGCACTTCCTGTTCTTTTCCAGAGAAGAAATCTGCATTGGTGAAGGAAGATCCTCACTGGGAGCTCCCTCTATAGGAGAAAGCCCAGGACTCGTTTCTAGTTTTCCTACGTCCTACTCCTCCACCTCTCCCCCTCTATCCCATCCAGTGGCCCCAGCCTCCTTCGTGTTCTTTGCAGGAGACACTCCATCTCTAGTCTCTGGGGGTTTTCTGTGGCTGTCCCCCCAGACATGGAATTTTCTCCTTTATGGCTTCCCTGGTTTCCTTCAAGTCCCTGCTAAAATCCCACCTTCCACGGGAAGCCTTCTCCTCAATTATTTCCAATATCTCCTCAGTTATTTCCAATTTACCCTGTCAATGTCTTGTTTGTACACAGTTGGCAGTATGCAGCCTCCCTCATTAGACCGGCAGCTCCTTGAGGGCAGGCGCTGTCATTTGCCTTTCTCTGTCTCCCCATGCTTAGCGCCTAGTAAGCACTTAATAAATGCTGATTGACCAAGTGGTACCTGGAACACAGTAGGCACTTCATAAATTCTAGTTGACAATGTATTTCACTCATCTGTATCTGTCTTCTCTGCCACCTGAGATGTTCTAAGGGGATGCAGCGTTGATTCAAAGACTGTTGTGACCTATTAACATTCCAGACATGGAACCATAAAATTATATTTCTTATTAAATGTCTTAGAGAAAAAAGTTAGTATTTCTTTCTTTGCACTCAGGGAATGCACACCTCCTGATGATGAGCATGCCATGCCTATTGGCCTTGAAAATCAAGGGTTTTCATGGTGGGACCAGAGTGTGGGGTTTGTGACTTGCTGAAGGGACCAAATTCAAGAGAGCACCTGGAGTCATCATCGTGCAGGATCGGCATTGGATCGTTGGTTCCATTCAGACCCAAAGTAAATAACATCAGCAGTCATTCATAGAAAGCTCAGGGCAGCCCTTTTTCAAGGTGGAGTAGTTAATACCGAGGAGACATTTTAACAAGAAGATACATGGGGAAGCAGATGAGGTGGGGAGTGCTAGACTTGGGAATCAGGAAGAAGACTGTAATTCAAAGCCTACCTTAGATACTTTCTAGCTGTGTGACAATGGGGTAAGTTATTGAATGGCTCAGCCTCAGTTTCTTCATCTGTTAAATGGGGATAATAATAGCACCTACCTCCCGGGGTTGCTGTATGCAAAGGGTTTTTCAGACTTAAAAGCAATAGATAAATGTTAGCTCCTAAGGGGAGGCTGAGCTGGGCTGATCAGAGCTGAGTAAAATGGGGTTTCGCTTCCGAAATGTTGTCGTTTGCCCTTCCTTTTCAAAGAGGACCAAATATGTGAATTGGATTGAAATGAGTCAGAGTTGTGCAAAGCTGTCAGCCTCACTCTCTCATCCAGAGTCATCGAAGTCCAGCAAATACATATGTGAAATATGCGTGAAGGTCAAGAGACAGTTATTCATTCAAGAACGGTCTGGGTGCCATTAATTCTGGGCGAGTGATCCTGATATTTATATTATCATGATGATAAAATGCTTGTAGTTTCCAAATTGAATCCCAAGAGTTCTATCAGCTGCCCTTTACACACACATACACACACTCACACACATACATTCACACTCATACATACACGTACTCACACAACACACTTATACACACATTTACACTGATACACACATATATATGCATGCACACATACTATCACTCACACACGTACACATTTACATACATATATCCACACTCCTAATATATATACACACTCACACATATATACACATGCACACGCTGACACACACACATACATGCTCACAACACACATACACACATGCACACACTGGCACACACTCACTCACAGTCACTTCTGGATAGCTCCTCCCTTCCTTAATTTTTTTTTCCTAACAGTTTCAATGTGTCTATTTGTAGCTTCCACTCACACCTCGTTCCTGGTTCTGCCCCGGGGCCAACCAAAACAAAGCTAATCCCTCTTTTATGAACCCTCTCTTCAGTTACTTGAAGGCAGCTCTCCAGTTGCCCCAGGATTTTCCCTTCTGCAGGTTAAAAATCACCAGTTCCTTTCACCATGAACTTCAGGCCCTTTGCCATTCTGCTCCCCTTTCTCTAGATGCTCTGCATCGAAGGCCAGGGTGGTTATGCAAGGCCACCTGGTGTGGCACCATCATATCCAGGCCTCTCAGCTCCCAGTGTCCTGTGTCTGATCCCAGGCACTTGGATGCCTTTCTTGGCTGGGCAGCTCCAAGTTTTCATCAAGAAAAAGTAAATAGGGGCAGCTAGGTGGTGCAGTGGATAGAGAGCACCAGCCCTGAAGTCAGGAGGACCTGAGTTCAAATCCAGCCTCAGCCCAAACACTTGACACATACTAGCCGTGTGACCTTGGGCAAGTCACTTAACCCCAATTGCCTTAACAAAAAAAAAAGAAAAAGTAAATAAAGAAAATTTACTCCAGTTTTAGGTGACTTTGAACTGTTGGTCCCATGTCTGTAGCCTGCTGGTACCCCAAGTATGGCAACTTGGGAAGAGAGAAGCAGCTGCAATGAGCAGCTGTAAAATGAGGCCGAAAAGGCCCCTCCTCCAGTTAGTTCCCTCTGGCAAACCTGCTGCAACACACGATTCATTGTGTGTGAGGGGGTAGGGGCAGGGCCTTGGGTACAGGAAGCTTGGAACTTCAGGGTAAATGTGTAGCTGTGGGGGCCCTGGAATGAGAAACCAGAAACTGTCATTGGAAATGGTTCCCAAAGAAATGGTGGGGGAAACCTCCGAAATGGGACTAACCCAACCCCACAGGGAAGTTTATTCTCCCACTAATCGGTTTCTTATGCCAGGTCAGGAAGAGCTGATCTCTCCCAGCCATGCCCAAGTACTCTATAAAGACCTGGAGGCTTTGGATAGATTGTGTTTCCTGCGTAATTCCGATTTAACTGGAAAAAATAAGAGCCGTATGGCCGCGGTGAATTCGGAAAGCAGAACACCCGTGCGCTTGGAGTGGGTACCTTTGTGCTGTGGCTTCCTGCCTTGTCTGAATTTGATGTTTACATCTCGGCCCCACTCCCAAGTAGGGTCCCATAAACCAGGGCCTCCAATCCATAGTCCTGCTTGGCGTGTTTTTCTGCACTCAGAACTTTTTGGTGACTCATTCCCAGGGCTGGTGCTGAGAAGCCCAATCCTGCCCCAACATTCGAATCCAAGTATACTAGGTCAGGAGGACCTTTATTCAAGTCTTGCTTGTGACACATCCCAGCTGTGTGGCCCTGGGCAAGTCACTTAACCTCTCTCTGCCTCGGTTTCCTCATCTGTAAAATAGATACGATTATAGCACCTACCTCCCAGGACTGTTGTGAGGATAAAATGAGATGATATTTGTGAAGTGCATTGGAAACCTTAAAGTGCTATGTAAATGATATTATTATTATTATGTATACATAAGCACGTGTGCATATAAAACTTTTTGGTCTCTTCTCTACCGATGCAAATCAGCCACCGCCCTGCCATTTATGAATTTAGAACCGCCAGGATTTGTCAGAAGCAAGACCTCAGGAAAGGTCTTTCTAACTCCTAGACCAGCTCTTACTACTACTACTATTACTACTACTACTACTACTACTACTACTACTACTACTACTACTACACACATACACACACACACACACACACACACACACAGAACCTTGAGGGAAGAAATCATGTTTTTGCCTTTCTTTGTATCCCTAGCATGCAGCCCAGTGTCTGGCACACAGTAAGGGCTTAATAAATACTAGTTGATTGATTGAAACACACACATATGTACATACTCACCTGCGTACAGGTGAGGGAATGATATTAGCAGTGTAGGGAAGTCTCTGTCCATTGATGCACGCTGACAGCTTTTTACAGTCTTAGAAAGTTACTTCGGGGCACCAAGAGGCAAAAGAATCTGCCCAGGATCATCTGCCCAGTGTGTATCAGAGAAAGACTTAAATACAGACCTTTTACTCTCCAAGGCTGAGAACATGCATGTGCTCTCTCTCTGTGTACACACACACACAGACACACAGACACACACAGAGATACATTATCGGTACACACACAAACACACATACATATGGCATACTTGGATAGATTACTGGTCTTGGGAGTCGGGAGACACGGTCTAAGTCCAGCCTCGGACACTTACTATCTCTATGACCCTGGGCAAGTCAATTAACCCTGCTGACCTCAATTTCCTCATCTGTAAAATGAAAAGGGGGCCAGACTCTAAATCTATAATCCTATCTAAAATGGGACATGTGTTTATCTGTACATACACACAGAGGGAGCTTCCAGCTCTAGATCTATGGTTCCATCTATGATGGGGACCTATGTGCTTGTCTATACACATATGTGCATACATTTGGTTGGGCCAGCAATTTATGGGGTTTTTTTTGGTTTGTTTTTTGCTAGGCAATGGGGTTAAGTGACTTGCCCAGGGTCACACACCTGGTAAGTGTCAAGTGTCTGAGGCCAGATTTGAACTTAGGTCTTCCTGACTCCAGGGCTGGTGCTCTATTCACTGTGCCACCTAGCTGCCCCTGGGAAGCACTCAGACTGCCAAGGCAGCCCAACAGCTCATCCATTACTTCTAGTCTCTGAAGGTTGCCTGGGATACCAAGAGGGAAGTGACTTCCCCAAGGTAACGGAATCCATATGGCTCAAAGGAAAGACTCGAACCCGGGTCTCCCTGTCTCCATGCAGTCATGCATTCTCTTCCGTTCTTATCTAATTGGCTTAAAATAGAAAACGAAGGGGGAAAAAAGACACATTTCTTTCCATTTCATATAAAAAGTATTGCTTTGCTAATGTGCTCTTGCGGCTTGCCTTAGAGATCCTTTGTGCTAATAAGGGATACAGAGTAAATAGCAACGTGTTAAAAAACGACAATAAACGGAACTGAAGGGCCGATGCCCTGTCAGGGTCCTGCAGCCCCTGCCCTCGATGGGGCCAGGTTTTGTGACGACTACAAAGCGCCCTACAAGCAGAATGATACATCAGGAATGGGGAGGCATAGCTGACATAATTCTTCCCCTCCAGAAGCTGGGGAAGGAGTCGTTCCATTACAGCTTGTCCCCCACCATCTCCCCCCACGGCTGGGATGGAGGAGTCCGACAACGATCCTTTTGTTCCGGGGTGCAGCTTCTCTTGAACTCTTCTACGGCCCAGGGGACCTGCCCTGCTCTGCGTGGGCCCACAGGAGTTCAGCAATTTCCCCGTGGGCGGGTGACGTCAGGGCCATGGACAAGGCCGTGTGGCCAGCCTAAGGGGGGAAAGATGAGAAATTCATTTCTTTCTCTGCTGACAAGTTATGCCTCGTGACCAGAGCTGGGGCTGGGTGGTTCTGGGCCGTGAGTTTATCTTTCTTCCAGGGCAAGGAGGTCCATGTGCTGAGCTGGCTACACAGCCCCACAGCACCTTCAGCGAAGCCATTTAGTCTTTTAGAATTGGAAGCAGTATGGTGCAGTGAATAGGGCATGGGACCTGGGAGGCAGGAAAACCGGGATCTAAATCTCTCCTCAGACAACTTCCAGTCACTTGACCCGGGGCAAGGCACGGAACCTTTTGGGCCTCAGTTTCCTCTTCTATAAAATGACAGGGCCAGGGATTCATGGCGTCAGAGGTCCCTCCTTTCTCTGACTGTGATGCCCAGGCTTCCAGCCCCGTCTTGCCCTCCAGGAATGGAAGGCCAGTTCAGTGCTGCTGTGCTTGCTGATCAGCCCTCCCCATTGGCCTATCAATCCCTTGACTCTAACAGGGGCCTCCACTCCTGGTACAATCCTTTGATGTCAGCCAGTTGAGGGGCTGTTTCTGATTAGAGGGCTGGCGGGGCTGCTTCGTGTTAACATAGCCCCTTTTGTGTGGCTCCAGGGGAGAGCAGACTAATATTTAGGAAAGGCGCCATTTCTTCCTGGCAGCAGCCCCCTCTCTGCCCCTCCCCCAACATTCATTTCGGGATGGTCTGGGCCCTCTAATTACTTCCCTAGCAGCGCTGGGGCCAAATCCAGGTATTTGGGATCGGCCGACAAATTGGGGGGGGGAGGGATAAGGATACCATCCTGGCCCCAGGGAGGTGTGACAAGAAATCTGGATTGTTAATAGCACAGAGGAAATTCAGATGTTACTTATTAGGATGCTATGTACAGGACAGGGAGGGACCTCGGTGTCCCTAGCTCACTTTACGTCTGGGTGAAAAAACAACAGGTTTGATTTGAAAAAAAAAAAAGGTATGTCAAAGTGTGCAATGAATGCACACTCACATGGGCCACCTCTTAGGTGGCTTTGAGGCTGGACAGGTTGCCTTGGGTTCTAGCTCCCTCCCAGGCTTAGTCCAAGGGCCACCGCCTCCCACATGGAGGGATTCCCAGGGAGTCACATGTGCTCCTGAAGAAAGTCCCCCATCCACCTCTCACACTGACTAGCTGTGAAAACGTCCTTATTAACAGTCTCTAGATCACAGCCGGGACCCTCTCACCTTGTCCGTCAACGTGGCATCACAGCCTGGATGAGTCAGGAGGAGTTTCACCATGTCCGTGTTGCCATGGCGAGCCGCCACCATGAGGGCCGTTGTCCCATCATTGTCCTGAAGGTTGACGTCGGCGCGACAGGTCAGCAGGGCCTTTACCATGTCCCCCCTATCGTGGCTCACCCCCAGCATCAGCGCAGTCTGACCTCCCTGGAGAGAGTTGTGGGACAACAATGAGTCATGTTTCCATCACAGAACATTCATACAAGCAGAGTTGGTTTTCACCAACTGAGTGACATGGAGGAGAATAGGAATGACTCTCCCAGTGGATCGAGGCCATCTTAGAGATGGAAGACCCTCCAGTCAGGGGAGCCTACTGCCCCCGATGCAGTCCCTCCTCCGTCCAGGGAGCGGAGGCTCTGATGGTCAGGAACTGTTCATTCTTTTAGGATGTTAGATTATCCTGGGGCTGCAGGATGATAGGTATGAGCCAGCTAGAACCCAACACCAGTGAGGAAGTCTGAAGATCAGGAGTAAAAAATGGCACCAGGGAAAGGTACCAGGGAGAAAAGGAGGGCTGAGAAAAAAGCAGCTATCCAGGCTGAGCATCACTGAAGAGTGTGTTTATTGGAGAATTTCCAGAAATCACACGAGTGTTTCCTCTCACCCCAACCAGCCGCACAGCAGTAACCACACATGACCTCACAGGGCTGTTGTGAGGACCAAATGAGACAACACATTTAAAGTGCTTTGCAAACCTTAAAGATACGGTATGGAAATGCTGGTCATATCATCATCTTTGCTGGATTGTTTTGTTCTGCTTTGTGTTTTCCTGTATTTCCTTTTGTCTGCTCCAAGGGACGGCTCTCTGAGTTTGGGGGAAAGCTATATCCAGAAGTGAAAGTAGGGATATTGAATACTGATATTTTCCTCAGCAGAGACCAAGCTTCCCGAGGGCAGGGAACATTCCACTTTTGTGGTATCTCCATCATTTATTTAGCAGAGGGCCCAGCTCATGGCAGGTACTTGATAAATGCTTCCTCAAGGTACACAGAGCCCTGGGTTTGGACTCAAAGGAGCGGGTTAGAATTCTAACTTGGCCACTCACTTCCAGGGTGATCTTGGGAAGGTCTCAGTATTTGCAGAGTTTGGAATCCCCTCTAAGCCCGAACTATGAGAGACTCAGCTTCACTGAAAAGCTGTGTGGTCTTAAAAGGGCTCTGGGACTTAAGAGCTAGATCAAGCCTTAGAAATCATTTGACAGATGAATAAACTGAAGACCAAAATGAATTGGCTCATCTAAGGTCTGGCAGGAAGTAAATAATGGGGAGGATTATTTTTATTTATTATTTTTATTACTTTCTGGGAGTAATCCCAGAAGAAGCCGGAATTTGAACCCAGCTCCTCTGACTCAGATACTGTGTGACTTCCATTATAGCGCATACGTCACCTCTTGAGAAGTTGAGTCAAAGCCTATTTTCTCCTAACTCCAATGAACACACACACACACACACACACACACACACACACAGCGGCACACAAGCCTGCATGTACACAGAATCTCAGCCTTAGAAAGGCCATATGAGGCCACATAAACCAAGAATCCTTCCTGCCACATTCCTGACAAGTGGACAGCCAGCCTCTGCTTAAAGGTCTGCAGAGAGAACAGGCACGCTGCGGCTTATTCCATTTAAGGATAACTCTGATCACCCGAAAGTTGTCCCTGAAATCATACCTACATCTGCGTTGTTACAATATCCACACTTGTTACAATGTCCTCTGGCAAAAAGACTAATCCCTTTCTTACCCAACAGCCCTTCCAATACTTGATGACAATCAGCATGTCCCCTGAGTCCACTCTGCTCCAGCCTAATCATTCCCAGTTCCTTCAACCAACCCTCCCAGGGCATCTAAGATGTGATGTCCAGAACCAAACCCAGTTACGTCCAGATGAGGTGTGTCCCGGGCAGATGGCAACAGGCCTATCACTCTCCTAGACTGCAGCTCACATAGGCTGATTTCTAATTCGGTGTTTGTTCCAAGATCAGACAGTGCAGCACCTGCTCCCACTGCTGAAGTCTAAGAGCACTACTGGTGATCCTAGCTTTGATACTTATTCCTTCACTACCCATGTTAACATTGATAATTTTTTATTATAAGCTGAATCCTCACCTCAGCCAATGTAAGTGAATAAATTAATGAGATGACTGAATCTTAACTATTTACATCTTGATAAAGGAAAACTGATTTTTAAAATAATATCACATTTTCCACATCCCCTTCTGATAACTTTTCCAATAGAATATTTTTTAAAGCTTCTGTTACATCTTTCCAGCAGAATCAATTGCTTTTTATTTACTTTGTACATATTCTATAATTGTTTCTCTGCATAGATGCTGTTTTCCCTCGCTAGAATGTAAGATCCTTGAGGGCAAGGATTTTTTCCACTTTTTTTCTTGTCCCCAACATCTAACAGAGCAAGCCTGAGATCGACTTAGGCATAAGGTGCATCAGCTACATGCATCCTCCTCATGCCTCTCCACTTTCAAACTCTATGGGCACCCACTCTTCCCACTCACTGTGTGTTTATGAAAGCACACCCCAGGTTTCTGGGCAGGTTGTTAATTTTCTGACCATATCATATATTTGTGCCTTCTTACTAAATGGTAAAAACAAATCGATGGGGGCTTATAAGCTATGGTTTTAGAAGTCTAGACCCGATAGAGCACCGGCCCTAAAGTCAGGAGGACCTGAGTTCAAATACAGCCTCAGACCAAACACTTGACACTTACTAGCTGTGTGATCCTGGGCAAGTCACTTCACCCCAAGTGCCTTAAAAAAAAAAAAAGAATAGAAGTCTAGACCCACAGAACACCTTCAACTGGATCTAGGGGTCCCCCGTGGGAGCCAGTACCATGAGTATGAGTTGGGGTCTCCCAAAGGAGCACAAAGCTATATGTCTTCAAGAAGTTTACATTCTATATAATATACTACAATGATTAGATTAGAACCAGTGTGCATTTTATGTCTGGGGCAATATCAGAATTCGGAGATTGGATAAGCAAAGGAGATAGGGCCATCACTTTAGAGCTGGAAGGCACCTCAGAGATCTAGGGGTGGGGAACCTGCAGCCTCGAAGCCACATGTGGCCCTCTAGGTCCTCAAGTGTGGCCCTTTGACTAAATCCAAACGTCACAGAACAAATCTGAAGTTTGGATTCAGTCGAAGGGCTGTACTTGAGGACCTAGAAGGCCACGTGTGGCCTCGAGGCTGCCCAGAGGTTCCCCACCCCTGAACCTAACCTCTTAATTTTACAGTTGAGGACACTGTAGCCCAGACAGGGCCTTGAGCACACCAGGAGTAAACAGTCAAGCCAGGATCCAAACCCAGGTCCTTGGTGATAAAATCTAGCTAGCTGGCTTTTCACTGCGCTAAAAAGGACTGTTCCGTACATAAAGGTGCAGCCCTGGGAAGGCGGTTATACCAACATCGCCACATCCTGGTTTTCTGGGTGAGGGGGATGGGGTATGAAGAGGGAGGAGTGTGGTAGCCAAGTCTACAGGGGCTGACCTGGTCTACCACTCATCCTTGACTGCACTGCACCTGGTCTGCACCTGGGACAGCTGCCCATTCTCTGCCAGGCCCCACCCTTCCCCAAAAGCCCATCCTTTTCTGTTCTTACCCCTTTTTTAAAAAAAAAAAAAAAAAAAAAAAAAAAAAAAAGCTAGTGAGGCAGGTGTGTAGGGAACAAGTCTGGCTGACCCCGACTCTTTGTTTTTCTCCAAAAGGAACTCCTGGGGGATTAATTAATTACCAGTGTACTTGTCTATCACCTGCCAGGGTTGAAGGGTGTGGGCAATCTTGGCACTGCTTGGTGAAGGACCCTACCAGCATAGCACAGCTCAGCTGTGATGGGAAGTCCTGGCCCTGGCAGTGTTGATGGAGGGTGGGGCTGGCAAGGTAAGGACCAGGGGCCTCTTTAAAGGACCAGGCCTTCAATGCAGACACTCACTGCCCCTTCTAGCCATGGGTTCTCAGCTCCCCAGAGATACTCACAGCAGAGTGTGTGTGTGTGTGTGTGTGTGTGTGTGTGTGTGTGTGTGTGTGTG